CCCATGAGGCCGCCTGGTCCGTGTGGCGGATTGTGTGTGTGCTCACGTGGACTCACGGCCACGCCCAGGGCCCCCTAGGTGTGGCTCTGACATTTTCCTAACAGACAGGGTTTCAGGTGATTGAAAGCGGTTCGGGTCCCACTCGGGACAGGGGGTGCCCCCGGGCCGGGCCCGGACCCCCAGCCTGTCCGGAACACTCACGTTCTTCAGCTCCCGGAAAGGCACGAACTGGACGATGTCCCGGAGCGCAGGCTCGCCCCGCGGGGAGCGCAGGACGCCGTCGTCCCCGTCCAGCACCTGCATGTCTGTGAAGTCGGCGTTGCCCACGCCCACGATGATGATGGACATGGGCAGGTGGGAGGCTCGCACGATGGCCTCCCGCGTGTCCCCCATGTCGGTCACCACGCCGTCCGTCAGGATCAGCAGGATGTAGTATCGCTGGGGACACGGGGAGACTGGTTGGTGGACTTGGGGGCTTGACCGGGGGAGGCAGCCCCCCTGGAAGACCCCCCAGATGGCCTGGGGGGGACTGCAGACACCCCTTCGCCGTGGTTTCAGGTTTTTCTGGGGTGTTTTTGCTGAAGCACAATATGTACATGAGAACCAGTGAGTCCGAGCCTGTGCCCTGCACACACACGGGGACCATGTCACCCGTCTTCACCCTCAGTGCTGCCGGGGTGACCCCCTTGCAGATGGGGGGCTGAGGCAGTGGAGCCCCCACTTGAACCCAGGTCTGAGGCCAGAGAGCAGGGGTCTGCAGGTCCCGGTGGAGAGACCCTGAGACCCAAGGAACAGAATTCAGAGAGGGGCCCTCCTGGGGTGAGGGAACTTAGCAGCTGTACATGGAGAATTCTGGGGGGCGGCCAGGAGGTGAGCCAGCTCTCAAACGGTCCAGAAAAAAGACAAGCCCGGCCGGCGTGGCTCAGCGGCTGAGCATTGACCTGTGAACCAGGAGGTCAGGGTTCGATTCCCGGTCAGGGCACATGTCTGGGTTGCAGGCTCCATCCCCAGTGGGGGGCGTGCAGGAGGCAGCCGGTCCATGTTCTCTCTCATCACTGATGTTTCTATCTCTCTCTCTCTTCCTCTCTGACATCAATAAATAATATATTTTTTAAAAAGAAGACGACCTTTGCACTGCCCCCCCCCCACGGCACCCACACCTCCTCATGCACCCGGTCCCCACTGTGCCGCTGCCCCAGGTACCCACAGAGGCCTCCCCGGTGCGCTCCTCAGCGGCAGCCACGCGGGCCACCTTGGAGATGATGGGCGCCACGTTGGTGGGGCCGTAGAGCTGGACGCGGGGCAGGCAGTTCCGGTAGGCCTCCACCACGCCCTGGATTCCTGCGGGGGAAGGGGT